CTCTCACACACACACACACACACGCACACACACACACACACACACACACACACACACACACACACACACACACACACACAATCATATGTATTTATAACTTCTTTCCTTCTTCTCATGCCAAGTACTTTATCTTCTGTGTCTAAGTGACCACCTCTAGCATGCGCCAAATAGTCAGTGCCTGTCACTGCCTGCCAATTGTTCCGATTGCCTGCAACACTGTAAGGGAGGCTGCAGGGTTCGAGATGTCTGGGTGATGACAGATATTTATCACTCGGTGGCTCCCATGGTGGTGTGAACCTACAGGCTGCAGAGTTCTACTTGTGGTGTGCATAGGTGATAGGCTGCTTTGGTCCCAGCTGGATGTCTGGTCTGTGCTGCTCCGCTGCCTGGCCGCCCATCCACTTGCCTTGTCTTTCCGTGCTGCTGACCTGCTTGCCTTGTAGTTTGGCCGCCTTGTCGGTGATACCTTCTTCCTCACTGCCCTGCTGCCTTGCTGCCTTGCTGCCTCGCGGCCTTGTTGCCTTGCCGCTTGCTGCTAATGTTGCCTTCTTGCCGCTCATTTTGGCAGCCTTGCCGCTTCTCTGCTTTGTTGCCTTGCTGCCTGGTTGCCTTGTTGCCTTCTTGCCTCGGTGCCTTGTTTCCCTCTGCTCATCGGGTTGCACTGCTGCTTGCTTTGTCGTTTGGCTGCCTTGTCAAAGCTGCTTGTTGCCTCACTGCCTTGTTGCCTGCTGCTCATACTGCCGTCTTGCAGCTTGCCTTGTTGTTTAGCTACCCACCGCCTCCCCGTGCCCGTCACCCTATGCGCCTTGCTGTTGCTTGTCGTTCAGTGCCTTGTCACCTCGCCATCTGCCTTGCTGCTTGTGCTGTCACTTGCTCATCATGAACTTACAACACAGGTTTAGGGAGATCATGACTTAAAACCTCAATATGGGGATTCATCAGACAGTTGAGGGTTCAGCCTCCTGATGAGTCGGTGCAAGTGCGATGAAACAGTCTGCCACCAACCTCACATGTTTTTTTTTCCCTCGTCTTTTTTCTGTCTTCCACCCTTCCAAAATTCGTTATGTCCACTGAAGAGCTATGTGAGAACCATCTCCAAGTCTTTGCACATGGTTCTCTCAAGAGAAGTGGCCATTCTGAGTATGACTATGTTGTATTGGAGATATCGGTACACACACACACACACACACACACACACACACACACACACACACACACACACACACAAGCACGTGCACACACACACACACAGTGAATATGACAACACACAAACACACACACGCAAAGAAAAAGAGGCATGTGTACACCCTTCCCCTTCCCTCAGACATTGCATCTTAGTTCCCTGCTGCTTTGCCTCGTTCTCATGACTTCAGCGTGCCATAACCCACTCTTCTGCCTCCCTATCCAATTCCCGCTTCTCCTCTAACTCCTCCTCCTCCCCTACTCCCGTTCCTCATACTGTCCCCCCTCCTCCTCCTCCTCCCTCGCCTCGTCTTCCTCATCCTGGTCTGCATCATGCATGCTGTTCGCCGTGACAATGCACACATTGTCACATACACACACAGAGGCAGTCATCTCTAACACTTGGAGTAGCATTTTGGTTGTATCCATGAATCCATCACAACTCAAACTCATGATTTGTTCATCAACGGCTACATGTGTACCATTTAGTCACATGGGCTAGGTAGGTTGTATAACACAAACATGCAGGGCCTGAATTTCCGGAGAAAAAAATCTGCAAACAACTTCAAAATGTCATCCCAATGTCCGACTTCTAGTGAATGCTCAAGCTGCCATTGCTCTGCTTTGAAGGACAAGGAAGGATGATTTGCGAGTAACAAACCGGCTTTTTCTTCTGCATAATGGTCGTCTCTCGAAGAGGCATCAGTAGCCCTCCCAGTAGGCAGATCCACCTGTCACTGGCCTGCAAGCATGTGTACATACATATTCAGAAAATTATTGGAATGAATGAACCAACCAACAACTCTTAGGCTCTCTCTCTCTCTCTCTCTCTCTCTCTCACACACAAACACGCACACACATACACACACACACACACACACACACACACACACACACACACACACACACACATGCACACACACACACACAAACAAGCACAGTCATTTTTTTTTTCTAATCAATCAATCCATCAATCAAGCAATCAATCAATCAGTTTGCTCGTCTATCAAACACGAAATAAACAAGGAAAAAATGAAAGAAAACGGCTTTTTTTATTTATTATTATTTTATATATATATTTTTTTTTTTGCTTGTTTTATATTTGCATATGTAGGGAAAACAAAAGTATCAAAGAATCATATGCACCATGTTTATCACACCGGCAATCCGAAAAAAATAATAAAAAAAATGTTCTTCTTTTTTTTATTATGTTTCTTCTGATTTTAATGTTTTATTTTTTCGTTTTGTATTTTTTTAAAATCATTAAGGACATAGAAGAAAAAAAACACATTATCGGGAGGTAGGGTTCTCGAAACCCTACAACCCCGTGTATATATATATATATGTATATATATATATATATATATATATATACATATATATATATATATCCTATCCTACCCCTTAAGCAGCATTGGCCGCGGGGGGAGGTTGATGGTCTGCTCCACGCCGGACATGGGAGTGAAGTTTTGCTGCGAGCCAGCGGATGGAGGAGATCGAGGGCTGGGGGGCGGGCAGAGTTGCGCGAGTACCGAAATGTTCACAGCGTGCCAGAAAACGAGAGAGCGCGCCCAAGGGGCGGAGCGGCGGCGGGCGTCGATGCGAGGGAATATCTCGAAGCGCCCGCCGTCAATAAGCGCGCGTTTTATTTTAAATTTCGTAAATATTTTCGATGTGACCCTGGGGCAAAAGTTTTTTTTTTTATTTTTCTTTTTTTCTTTTTTTTTTCTTCCATTTTTATTTTTTTTTTTTTTTTTTTTTTTTTTTTTTTTCGTGTTTTTATGTTGTTGTTTTGTTCCCT